AAGAACAGTATCCGGTTCTATCTTAGTTCTTATATAGACTCAATTAAGCCAAATGAAAATTAAAAACATAGAATGATCGATATAGAGGGGTTTGGTCCTGTTATCTTTGCTTAAATGTATGAGTATGTATATTTGTGCGTGTTAGAGTCTATATGCAATACGGTTCCTAAATCAGAGTTGTCAAAAGTTTTAATCTCAGGTTATGATCCTCAAGACCTAATGACTCAAGAAAAAGCCTTGACTGAGACTGCGTAGGTCCGCAAACAAGTATGATTAAGATAATGAAACATGAGCTTGTAAGCATGAAAATCAAGTTACGAAACCCTTTGTCCTAACCTTTCAGTATAGAGTCATTTGCGTTTAACCCTTCAAGGAAAGGCAAGACTGGGCTTGCGTAATCTGACATGTCTGGTTTGGTTGATGAGCTTATTATAACATTTTGGACGAACGTGAGTGAAATTAGAACCATCACCTCTCTATTTTAATCTATCGATCAAACATAAGTAGTTTCTACTCAACTTTTTACCACCGTCCTTCATATTTAATGTATTTCCTAAGTCATTAAATTTAATAGCCTCTCTTATCTTTGTTTTAACCAGAGATGTACCATAATCCGCAAACCTACTAGTTTGAGACCATTCTATTTCATGCTTAGTTTCTACAATATGTTCGGCCACTTCTGACCATTGGATCCAGCTTCCTTTGCCAGAATTTTTATGTTATCTCAATCTTTGTTGAATAGATCGGCATAACTCACCAACATAGCATCGATCACATGAGAAAACAATCTTGTAGCAGCCGGATCTCGATAATGGGTCACATTTCTCTCTAAAAGATGGCATAACAGAAGAAAGTGTTAGGGTTTCTTTGAAAACTGTTTTTATGCCCCACTTCTTTACTAATTCGCCTATATTTTTTAAGAGAAGGCATGACGGCAAAATTAGGACATGGGAAAATGTTTTAGAATGGCAAGTCTCACTGATGATGCCGACTACGATGCCGGCGAAACGTCTGAGAATGTATCAAGTCCACAGAGTGAGTGGTGAGCGAACGGTTGTCGAGGGATTGACTTCACTTGTCTCTTTGACGAGTTCGTATCTTGGTGCGTTTTCAGCAGAACGTTTGTCGAGGGATTGGCTTCACTTGTCTCTTTGACGAGTTCGTAGCTTGGTGCCGCAGAATGGCAAGTCTCACTGATGATGCCGACTACGATGCCGGCGAAACGTCTGAGAATGTATCAAGTCCACAGGATGGCAAAACTCACGGGACTGGCTTCACTTGTCTCTTTGACGAGTTCGTAGCTTGGTGCGGCGAATGGCAAAACTCACTGATGTGTCGAGAGATTGACTTCACTTGTCTCTTTGACGAGTTCGTATCTTGGTGCGGAGAATGGCAAGATGATGATGCCGACTACGATGCCGGCGAAACGTTTGAGAATGTATCAAGTCCACTGTCAGATGCTGGGAATAGAGATAG